ATGGCAACACAGTATATTTGAAACAAAAATTGAAAGATCTCTTTGCAAAACGAACAGTATAGATGTTCTGTCATAATCTTCAATTTGGCAAGGCGACGTCTCACTGTCATGCATTGAGCTTCTTCATAGTTATCATATGGATTCTTGGTTTGCACATTTTACTTTTTTTTCATCAATCCACATACTGTTTCATACGCATTTTATATTGCTTTTCAGTCATTACTTTTCCTTTGTACCTTGGATGTTCATTCATGTTTACGGAATACACTCAAAGCACAGTTGACAGTAATGAGAGTTGACCTAACTTTTACCATGACGCCGTGGCAATGGCAATGTTGCCAGATTTCATCCATAATTTTACAAGCTCTTGATGAATAAATAGACACTTTTATTCAAATAAAAAGTTAACTGCCGTGCATTAAACACGAAAAATATATGCAAGCTAATATGTGTTGTATACAATTCATTCGTATACATTATACATATTTAGTTCGCTCAAATTAGTTTATGTAAGGTTGGTACTACAACGAAACTATCGTGTAGAAGCATAGGCTTCCCTCCCGCACCGCCTGCCCCGCAAGAGATTAACGAACCTCCTTAAGTTAAATCACTAGTCCGACCATATTTTATACGAAAATTGCGAACTGTAGATGCCAAGGCTTTATTATTTATAAGGTATTGCTCAACAATGAAAACGCGTTGCTCTTTCGTGTAGCGCTCTATTTTTAATAACCTTGAACTGTCAGCTGTCACGCTGCATTTTTTTTTCGTTGGGAACATTTTACCGCACAAATAGCGCAAAATTCAAATCTTGCTTGAATTTAGGGATACCGATTATTAGGATCAGATAAGATATTCTTTTATATAAATTCCATCCTAATATAATCAAGTCTGTGATATTTCAGTAAACGGTACAACCGCGTTCAGCGAAAATCATTGAGTTCTGAAGCTGCGCCATACTTTTATATAATTACAAACTTTTCCCATATCGGGTTTAAAATTCCGAACCGGAAAAAGTTTCATTTACAGCCGAGCGCTGAATTTGCTAACCGAGGTGCACACAACACAGAGGTCAGCGGGGCTGGAATAAACCTTACCGAGAGTATGTATACTATTTTATTCACAATCAGTTAATAATTATTGATCGCTAACATATAATTTGATTAGTATACCTTAACAAAATGTTTATTGATTCTGACAGTTTTTTATATTAATTACTAAATTAATATACCTACTACTGAACAGTGGGTAATTATTATCATTTATACAAATTTACCTGTTAGTGAATTAAAATGTACTCGATCACAAGTTAAAGAAAAAGTAACCGAGAAGTTAATATTAGAAAAACGCAAAGTAAAAAACCTATGAAGCATACCTGTTATAATTGGCGCGTCAAACTATATCAAATAGTAACTCCACAATGTCTGTCCTTTTATTTATGTTTATTAATCAGATGAAGGAGGTCCTCCACATTAAGGTCAATATATTTAATGCTAGGGCAAACTGAGAAAAAAGTATTATAATCACAATTAAAATTTTACCGATCCCAAGAAAAAAGTTCATACGCATATAGGACTACATCGATATCTTAGTTCAAATAAAACCATTTGTTTAACAGTATCTTATAATGACAAGTAAATATTTTATCCAAATCCAGTAAACTAATCAACTCGACAAGACTTTACAGAATAGCTACCACAGTATCTTGTGAAACAAAAGAATAAAATATAATACTTAAATATACCATTAATAAATTTATTTAGATTATTTAATACAATCAAGTGTGATTTATAGTGACCATTTAGCCAAAATAGAATAGTTGTAGTGACTCCTGATATAAAAATATACCTACTCCATTCATTCGTTTGTGATAACTAAACCAGAATGAATAAAATAATAATCCTTGCAGAATTTGAAAATGAATTATTTTTTTTACAAGTTAAATTTCGCAAAATTACAAAGTAATATTTTGGGCATAATACCACTGGAAATTATTTAAAGAAATGAACAATTTGTTGGTGTCATATCTTAGTTGTAAATACCACTCAAGCCTACTAGTACAAATATAACTTTGTACAAGTAGGCAATGAATCACTAGACATAGACTAGTACAAAGCAGCGATTTGTGGCAGTAGCATTAAATAGGAAGATATGGCATACTTGGCAGGTCATATTTAGATATCGGAAACTTTGTGGCGACAATCAAATAAATAAACAATAGTAATTTATACAATAGCAATACGCGTTGTAGTATACTAGCAGAAATAGGCTAAATCTGTTGTCAAGCCGCTCTATGCTCATAATACACAATGCTACTGACTGCCATAAAAATACGTGCCATACACTCGACCAAGCAAAGCGTCAAACTCACTCATATACGCACAAACGACAAAGAAATGCAAGGCCAACGTTCTTCAGCAAAAAAAAACTTGATTGTTCACCGGCACGACAGGCCGACAGGGCAGGCATTAGGGTGCCGCTAGATTTGTATCAAATAAATTGATCGATGCGAAGCTTCAGATCAGAGGCAGACATGTACATGTTATTGTACAATGACGCGGATAGTTGGACTACTAAAATATGAATTATGCGCCTGTGATCTCGGTAAATGCTAAAAGGTTATTTTCGTTTTTGAAATGGTTATTTACCGATCGCCGAAGACGATTAACCGCGGACAACTTAGGACAACTGTTAATTATTTTCTACAATCGCTTTCCTTATAAGTAAGAAATTATTATTTTGTTAACTTTTGCTGGTACTTACTTATTATTACGTACTATATATACATATACATTTTATGGTAAGTTCCATATGATGCATTTAGTGTAGAAAAATAGACACTGCACCTTTTTGTTTCATACTATTTTGCAAATACATACTTACATACAGTGCTATTTTCTTAAAACCTAACAAGCCAACATTTTTATTTAAAGTGATAGACTAGTACTTCCAAATTCAAAGTTGTAGGAAATAACTAGATTAAGAAAAATTTACAAATAATTCTTTCCGGTGTTGCCAGATTTCTGCAGTAGCTACTAAAACGATATTTTTTAAATGGCAACACCGTATTTTTTAACATAATTTGACAAACCTTCAAATTCTAAATAGAAATTGTTATTTCACATTTCTTTATTGGAGTAGCCGTTCGAACACTCAGCAAAAACAGCGAAAATAATCTGCAGTCGGTAGGACCTAAAAGTAGCTAACACAGCAATAGTAGGCCTTGGATATTAAACAAAAATTGTGTTGTTTGAAAGGAGTTATCATTATTGTATTGTCATTGTGTTATTTGAAAGCTGTTATATTTGAATGTGTATAAAAATAAACATTGTTTTGGAAATAGAAATAACAAGTTTCCCTATGTTGCAATATAGTCCAGGCAAGTTAGACCAAAATCACCCAGAATACGGAATTTTTTTTCTGATGAACCGATCGAGTTGCGGTTTTCGGCATTGTCTTCCGAAAAATATCAGGAAAAAAGTCTATATATTACACTTTGGGGCTGGATCGAAACTGCATTGCGGATGCATAAAGAGTGCATCTTGGAGTGCATCAATTTTTCCGAATTTTCTAAAAATGGTAAAAATTGACTAAAAGTTGTAGAAATTTGGTTCTCGGGGTCGGAGATTTCGAATCTGACCCTGAAAAATATGCCCAACGGCCCTGGCCCCCCCCACGGGGGCAAGCGGGGGGCCTTCTGTAAAACATCGAATAGCTGAGTAATTGCCTTCTAAATTTCTACTCGGGGGTTTTCGGGGTCGGGGATTCCAAATTTGACACTGGAAAATATCCATTAACCTTAGCTTGTCTATCACTGAGAAAAATCCTGGACAATACATTCCCAAGAGACACATTTCGTTAAATCAAAGAAATATTCCTTAAAACCGAAGAATACTTCATGGATAATGGATTTTCAAAAGAATCTCTTGGGTCCGTGCGACTGCGGATAATGCATAACAATTAGGCGACAAAATCCGATTATCGACAATGCAGATCTTGTGGGTGCAGGAAGCATGGAATTACATGCACAATTGCATGTACAAATTGTTTTGGAAACCAACTGTTCCAATCCTGAAATAGTCAAAAATGTAATAGATGATAGTGATGGAGACAGTGATGGCAGTACTGATGATGAAAATTGTGATTGATAGTGAAAGTGTTAGACAAACATATAATAGTAGTTGTCTCACTAATTGCCTTGCAAATAAAAAGAAAATTGGTTCTCAGAATAAAGTGGATTCTTTTCGACTCATTAATTTCCTGTTAGTTTTTCTTACCCTTCTTGTCTAATCTCTGTAGATTTACGTGTGTTACAATGTAAAGATAAGCCTACAAGATCATGGTTGGTAAGCGGGTGGAGCAGTTTTATTGTCGTTTCACTGTCAAAATCGAAATCCCCGACCCCAAAAACCCCCGAGTGGGTATTTAAAAGGCAATTACTCAGCTATTCGAATATGCCGTCGGGCATATTTTTCAGGGTCAAATTCGGAATCTCCGACCCCGAAAACCAAATTTCTACAACTTTTAGTCAATTTTTACCATTTTTAGAAAATTCGGAAAAATTGATGCACTCCAAGATGCACTTTATCCAGCCCCAAAGTGTAATAGATAGACTTTTTTCCTGATATTTTTCCGAAGACAATGCCAAAAGCCGCAACTCGATCGGTTCATCAGAAAAAAATTGCTGATTTATTGTCTAACTTGCCTGGTCTAATATTTTCGTGTCCAGTTGGTATATGAATGAAGAACGGTGCTTTAACTAAGGAAATCACCTTGAAGATATCCTTTTAGATTAAGACATTAAATTTCGCAATCAAAAAGGAAATATCTACTGATGTATTTTCCGCCTTAGATATAATCACTTGCCATTACTCGTTTATAACGTTGCTTTGAAAGAAAATAACTTAAAAACCATCTACGCCGGCAGAAATTCGTACGGACCCGCTTTTAAAAAGCATCTCCGACAGACGCTTATTATCCATAAATTCATTTTCCCACAGTAAGAACAATCTCAGCAGAGTGAAGCGATCCCAGTATAATGACATATATTATACGGAGGAGGTTTCAACAGCGCCTCAGTGGTTGTACAATCTGACAGGAGATACAATAGATATCGATGACAATGCGGGAGACGAACTAGAACAAGTATTCGACGAAGACATATCAAGTAGTAATGGGGGAGAACACGATATGAACGTAACCGGAGGCAACTCATCTCCAGCTGAAATCCCCGTTCCATTTTCAGAACGCGTGAACCACCGTGAGCAATTAGATTACGAGGAAAATGGTTATTTCTACGACACGGCTTGGACAGCAGACACGGTGCAAAGTAAGTAAATCGATAAGGTTTATATTTGGCTCATAAATATTGCAAATTTAATCAGGACGCACTTGGAGGTATAATAGTATTATATTTTAATGTGCGGCATTGCCAACACGAAAGACTTTGGGATTTGTTGGAAAAAGGGGTTACGTGACGGATCATTTATTAGATTCTAAACTGTGCTTCTTTTGTAGGTCACTGTTACAATATTTATCACAGAACTTTATTCCATTAATTTTTAATTTTTCTTTGGCTGTCTATAAAGGTGACAAAATCCGAGATTCGATAGGTTAGCAGTGAAACTTATAATAATTTTTTTTATAAACGTTGGTACAATTGAAAAAAAAATAATTTTAAATATTCCGCTATTTTCTAACGATATTTAACATTCTAATAATGCTTTTATTCTAAGTTTTCATTTGACTTTTTAGTGGTAGTGTAACTTTTCGGAGGTTTTAGTTCATCAATAATTTGTTCTTTTAGAGAATAACGATAAATACTGTTGCTATTAAAACAAATTGTAAAAATGGCAATTATTGATTAGGGTAACACTTTTCCTATTGTTAAGGAAATAAAAGGTGTTCAAGATTGGTTTAAAAAATCATATTTATATTATATTGCCAAACAGCTAAAGACATTTCAATGAAATTTTGTATCATCGAGGGAGCATGTTTTGCAATTAAAAACATTATTTTTAGTTTTGCTATTGGCGTTCACGTTACTGGATATTTCTAAAGAAAAAATTGGTACGCCACTGCTTTTTCGTAAAATACAAATCAGTCTCGGATTCTCCATTAAATTTAGAAAGAAACTCTGTTTCGATTTCTCTGAGCGTTTTCGAGTAAAATAATCAAAAACCCTTTTAACACACAATATAAATGTAATTTCGTTTTTTACATTAATGAAACTGTAGCAGGAAAAACAACAGATTTAATTAGTGGTGTACAACAACAATTATAACAAAATAAAATAAAAATATAAGTTAAAGAAATTGCTCGAAATGTCTACCCACTTAGTCCACCCACCTTAATACATTTTCGACATCGTGTAATCAATGAATTTATTGCAGCAGATGCTTCATTTGTATTTCGCCGCATATCATTGCAGGCTTGCTGAATCCTTAAAACTAAATTATATCTTAATAATGGAGTAGCATAAACTTTGTCTTTTACATTTCTCCAAACCTAAAAGTCCAGTGGATTAAGATCCGGTGACTTAGGTGATCAGGCCACTGGTCCAATGTCATTAACCACGTTATGATTCGTGTCATTCCTCCCTAACCGGCCAATCCACCGTTGCGGATAATTAGTATTCAGCCATTCTCTTACAGCTATTCGAAAATGCGGGAGGCTTCATCCAGTTGTGTCTAACTTTCATGTCTTAGGTTAACGGGTATATCCTCAATGTAATCCTTAGTAAGAAATTCAAGAAATAGTTCTGAGTTTAACCTTGGGAGTAGAAAATGTGGATCACAAACATTTCTCGAGGATTTTCGTGTGCCCCAACATGGATATTATTATGATAATTCGTTATTCCACGTCTACTGAATGAAGATTCATCCGGTCACAGAATTTTGTGCAAAAAGTCACGATTTTCTTCCATCGAGTTTAAAAGTCACTGGCAAAGCCTCATTCGCTTTTCAGCATCCCAGGGTGTAAATCCTGACGGGCTGTAGGTGATATGCATGCCTGTGATAATCTCGTAATGTTCGTAACATCTGAGACTTAAATATTTGTAGTTACTGAGCTGCCCTTTGAGAGCTGAGCAGATTGTCAAAGTCTCGTCAAAAGTACAAATAATAGGATTCCGATTGTCATTGCGATGTTGTTGTCACGCAGGTAAAAGTTACGAAACTTTTGAAGTGTTCCAATGAAGACACGAGCTTCAAGAATTCTTCTATTATAACGTTTTCGATATTCACGAACTGCCGTTTCCGCATTGCCATCACAAAATTCGTAACAAAAATGCGTTACTAAAAAGCATTTTTCAGGATAACACTAATAATAACGATAACAATTACAAATCAAATTACTAGAAAGCTAACTAAATGTGACATAGTTACTAATTATGTAATTTGATAGATAAATTTGTTATTTTGTCGTACTTGTTCAATTGTTTTTCAGAGATCACTTTGAAAACGCTCGTAGTCGTAGTCGTAGAAAAATCGAAGGTGAATTTTTTCTTCCAAATTGAATGAAGAATCCAAAACTGATTTTTATTTTATGAAAAAGCAGTGGCGTACCAATTTTTTCTTTAGAAATATCCAGTAACGTGCTAGCACGGATACTACAGGCGAAACTAAAAATAATGTTTTTCATTGCAAAACGTGCTTCCTCGATGGTAGTTAACATCTACAAAATTCCATTCAAATGTCTTTACAATTAATAAATTTGATTTTTTAAACCAATCTTGTATTTCCTTAAAGAAGCATTTCTCGAATATAGTTTATACATATAGCAAAATCATATTATTTTTTTGAATCTCTAGCGGTTCCTGAAGTTTCCGCATCGGAAACTGGACCTCCCAGTGTAATTTTGTTCTGTTCTTGTGATTCTCTTGTAATATCGATAAATCTATATGCCATATGAAAAAAAAATTATGTCCTAAATTTAGTAATTTCTTTATATTGTTATTAGGTTACTTTCTTCTACATCAATCTGTTATTTTTTTTTAAATTCCAGATTGTGTTTTTTTAGTCATAGGTATACAGGGTGGGCCACCAGTAACGCCTCGGTGACTAGGGACCAAAAGGCAAATGTTGTAGAAACCTGTTTAGGTGGGTATGTGTAGGTTGATTACGGCTAAATTTTAAAAATATTTTCAAATATACAGGGTGTCCAGGAAAAGCGTGCCATATCAAAGATATGTATTTTTAAATGAAACATCCTGTATTTTACAGCATTTTTGAAAGCACCGTAAAAAATAGGTGAACTTTATTAGGTTAAGGTTCTGCATAGGATATATTGTTTGTGAGATATTTCAATTTTAGTGAAAATGCAGGCTTAGCGTAGAAATTTAATATTAGCAATAAAAAAATTATTTTAAGGAAGCAGCTTTGGAGAGTGTATTTTAGATCCTTGAAGTTATAAATTATTATATTTGTCGTCATAAAAAACGAAACGGCACAAATATTTCCAATTCCGTTAGAGATAGGTATAGGGAACCTATATACAGTTTGAAAGAGTTTTAAATTTCCTAACTTCCAAAGTAAAAATATACTGGGTGTCCCATTTAAAATAACCAAGTTACTGTTTAAAGTTGAGAGAAGTATTCAGCATTTTTTGACCACCCTGTACAATACTAAGTGACGACAAATATAATTTATAACTTTAAAAATCTAAAATACACTCTCTAAAGCTGCTTCCTTAGAATTATTTTTTTATTACTAATATTAAATTTCTACACTAAGCCTGCATTTTTATTAAAATTGAAGTCCGCAGAACCTTTAATAGAGTTCACCTATTTTTTAAGATGCCATTTAAAAATACATAACTTTGATATTTTACGCTTTTCCTGAACACCCTGTATATTTCAAAATATTTTTAAAATGTAGCCGTAATCAACATACACATATCCACCTAAACAAGGTTCTATAACACTTGCCGTTTGGTCCCTAGCGACCGAGGCGTTACTGGTGGCCCACCCTGTATATTACTAATGCAGTCATTTTGATGTAAATAGGCAGCCGTTGTAATTACCTAATACTTACCTTTCAAATATACCCTATTTACATTCTGGCGTACAATTTTTCGATCTGGCAGTGACATAATTTTAGATTTTTAGTTTAAAAAATGATAGAAGTTTGTAATATATGGTTACATGCTGATTGTTTGGTACTTATACGACTAACATCGTTTTTATCATTGTATGATTTAATAAAACGCGGATTTTTATATTTATCTTGCCCACAAATTGTACCACAAATAGATCCCTCATAGATATAAACTTCAAACTTGGCACTGTGCAGTTTCTCGTATCCATAAGCTACATGTAAAATTGTAACAAAAACCAATTGGGATTAAGAGGGATATGAGAGACATTAACTGTTAAAAAAACTAGATCACTTTCTATCAAAACTTTTGTATCTCTTGAACTTTTTTCGTAGCCAAAAGCTAAGGCAATATTGGGAAGGCCCTAAATAAAAGCAAATTATTTTCCTTTACCTTCTAAACAAGTAGATGTGTGTAATTGAATCTATTGTTCTAGTTATGTTCATATTCAAATAAGGGCGAAAAACTTATAAAACTTATCTCTATCAATTTTCCCTTATGCTATATGTTCTATTGATAATAAAGCTCCTAATAATGAGTTTTCGATTCTTGGCCATTAGTAGTAGTATAATCTTTATTCAATACAACGAGTGTAAAGTAAACTACAGAAATACAGAGTTACAATATTTGACAAAATTGTTACATCTAAATTATCTTAATCTAAATATAAAATTACACAAATAGATATATCACACATACGTTAAAATAATTTTGTTAGGCATTTCTATGTGAAACACTGGAATAAAATTCTTGTACGGAGTAAAAAGTATGAGCACACAAAAACTTACGCAGCTCGTATTTGAATTTCGATAAAATACAAATATTTCTAATATTTACAGGCAGAGAGTTATAAATATTGGCACACAAAGAAGCGGACCTCTCTTGAAAGTACTTAAATTATAGTTTTGAATGATGATATGACTTGCATTTCTTGTACCGTGAACATGCAAACTTTTTGGCAGAGGAAACTTGTCGGGGTTTAGCTTCACAAAAATAGCGGACTCATAAATAAGTATTGAATAAAGAGTGAGTATCGTTATCTTTAAATATTGCTTTGCAAGAATCTAACGGGTTTAAGGAGAAAATCAATCAGATAATTCTCTTCTGTAGAATAAATATTCGATGCGCATGCGTAGAGCACCCCCAGTATATAATTAAATATTTAATGTGCGAGAATGCTAAAGCATAATAAACATTTAGCAGATATTGACTGCTCACAATGTATTTCAGGTTCCTTATTGCAAAATAAGCTGACTTCAGTTTACTGGCAATGGAGTCCACATGCACCGACCATGAGAGATTCTCATCTACATGCAAGCCCAAAAATTTGGTATTAGTGACATTCTCCAGCACTGTGTTGTTCAGAGTTAAATTAATTTTTTGCTTGCATTTTCGTAAATGAAAAACTATATACTTAGTTTTACTTGCATTAATTATAAGCTTGTTTCGTTCGCACTAGGTGTAAAATTGTTGGAGAGCTATATTTGCCTGAATTTGTAAATCATTAAAATTATTGCCTACTAAACTAATGGTGGTATCATCGGCAAACATCACCAGTGTTATGTTATCGGTCATATGTTGTTTCAGATCATTCACGAAAAGCAAAAACAGCAGTGGAGCTGCGGAACTCCAATACTCAATTTATATTGCTGTGACTGCGTACCAGTCAGCTTAACGCTGATTGACCTGTCAGATAGGAATTAACTAATCCATTTATCTAGCGGCTGCTTAATCCCTAAACTATTTAATTTTTGTCTTAAAAAACCTTCCCCAACGCAATCAAAAGCCCTTGTTAGATCAAAAAAGAGCGAAATCACAATTTTACCCTCATCAAGTTGTTTGTAAACATCACAAAGGAGTGAATATACTGCAGTATTAGTTGAATGGTTTGGACGAAAACCATGCTGGCTAACTGATAATAAATTACAACTGTTTACAAATTTCAGAATTCTGCCGCATTCCACTAAAAAGCTCAAGACATAAATATTTTACTTGAAAATGGCGAGAAATCGGGCGATACAGTTGATATTCACTATCGAACCCCATTTTAATTCTGACACCACTGACTGGCCAGTTGTCCAAATTTTACACGTACGTAGATACTATAAGTGAGCTAACTTGAAACCCCTCAGACTCCTAACTTCACTTATTTGTTTTTAACATTTGATGTGAAATTAGCTATTATTAAGAAACTGCACTATATCAAATTGATCAAAAACTATTTGCTTAATTAATCATTGAAGGATTGAAAGATCTTAGGAGAACCTGTGACTTTTATTTTATTTAATAAGAGGAATAAAAAATTTGTCACAATATCGTAATTCTGTAAAACATTCTGATTTTCTTTTGTAGACGTAGCAATCATTAATATTCTGTTCACCAAATGTCACTATATCCAGTGAATTTTTGTCAATGGAAGTTCCACCTTTTTGTTTGTTGAAAAATGTTGTAAAACTTACATTCCCCATTTTACGTGTCACCGTTATTGCCAATTATCTTAAAATGCTGTGCGCATTTTCGATATCATAAATTGTAGGTACTGTAGTTACTAGGCTAAGGCAATTATTAAACTTTAATCAGATTATTACCACACGTGTTACATTTTCAGCTCGACAACGAGGTAGTTCAATATTGTCCACCCGTTGGTTGGAAATTGCAATAGCAGTGGACCATACTCTCATCTCGTTTCACGGCAGGAACAAAGTGGAACAATATGTACTTGCTCTGATGAATATTGTGAGTAAAATTCATATTCACCATTTATAGTAAAAAATAAAGGCAACCGATTTTTAATTCAAAATGATCATATTTTAATTTGCAGGTTCATTCATTATAACATTGAAAATTGCATATATATTCAGGGTATTTAGAAAACGGTATAATAAATTTGACAGTTGCCCAAGAAAACAAAAGTTGCTAAAATATATTTCTTTTTATTTAAAATGAACGATATTGATTGAATTTTAAGACTATTTACCACCAAAGTATATTTTTAACGTTCAATATCACTTTTATTTTGAGGCATTGTGTAATAAATTCGCACATACAGAGTGTTGCATAAATGTGTACAAAAAACGACTGCATTCCTTGGATAATTTTAAGGGGTGCCTTTCATATAAATTTTTAATTAAAAAAAGTTACAGTCCATTAAAGGTGGACGGTGTACTATTGGATTTTTCAATTTTTCTCAAAACCGTTGAATATAAGCAAACGAAATTTGGCATGATTATTTATTTAAAATTACAACTGTTCACGTGAAAATCCCAGTTACATAGCAGGGAAAACAAAACAATATAGTAAGTTATTACAAAATACAGTAGAAAAAACAAAAACGTGGTATGGAAAATATCAATTGTCCTGCAAATTAGCAAAATTTCGGCACATTACATATAAAGGAGAATAGTGCGATACATTGATTCTAGCAGTTCTCAAATAAAATGTCTCATTGTTAGTAGTGCGAGAGGTAGCTCTAGGGACATTGAAATTAAGTTTGCACAGTAACTCTTAACAAAAGCACCAACCAAATTAAAGAGGAAAATAAAACTGTGCATATTACGCCGAGTCATTAAAGATTTTGTAATCGTACTTTTCTAGAAGTAAATGCTGCGAATAACCAATAGAAGGATATGTTTTAGTTTCCTTATAATGCAAAAATTTTAAAAATCTTCGTTGCGTTTTCTCCAAAAGATCAATGTGATTAGCATAATGAGGGGCCCAAATAATAGAACAATACTCCAGCCTTGATCGACGAAACAGTTGTACAAAAATTACAGTGGGTGGCCAAATTATTAGGGACAGTACTCAGTTTCTTATATTTTCTAGTTTGACAGATTTTTTTTGAACAAACAGTTGGTTCTATGGCTTGTAGCTATTTTTTATTCAAAAGAGTGTATTATTAAGATCATAAAAACAACGAGTTACGTGGGAGAAACTTTTTTTTTTTTGCGTAAAAGCTTTATATGTGCATCAATGGAAATCTGTTAAAATTAATCTTAGTATTTAGTGATGCACCCTTTGCCGCAATTAAAGCTTTTATGTCTCGAGGCATGCTCTCTATACAGACTTTACAATTCTATTGGAGTTCGACGTTGTAATGCCATTCTCTGATGAGAATTTCAACAGTTGGTGCTTGGTGGTGATCACCTCATTAGCAATCGCCCGTTTGGTGAGTCCCCACATGTCCTCTATAGGGTTCATACCCAGTCAGGGCAAATTGGTAATGTTTTTTCGGCAAGGAACGCACTAACACTCCTGACTTTGTGGCTCGGTACCGAATCGTGCATAAAAAGGAACTCGGCATCAGCAGGGAACCATTCTTCAATATGTGGCAGTAGCGGGATTTTTTGTACTCGCTTGTTCGGATCCTGCCTCATGATCCCCTCCACGATGTATAGGCGTCTTATGCCCTCTACTGAAATCACAGACCATACCATGACACCAACCGGGTATTTAACCATCACCACAAGGCAGTTTGGATGGAATTGCTCTCTCCATGACGTCGTCGGAGAAATGAAGTTTTGTCGACCAAAATTTGAAACGCTGATTCGTCGGAAAATATAAGATAATCACAAAAAAATATTTTTTAACACTATTTTAATTAGTTGTTCTTATTGGAATGCAATCAGCAACAGTCATATTCTGGAGTTATTGGGCCCATTGTAGCCGCATCTTCTTCATGACCATCAGAGGTGGTTTTTGGGTCGACAACGACCGATCAGGTTTTCTTCTGCCAATCACCTTCGGACTGTCATTTGGGGAATTACAATTCCTTCATTGTTTATTATAGTAATTCTATACGAAATATCAATATCGTTTTGATAATTTGTAACAGGAAAAACTCACGAAAAACGATTCAGAAATATTTTTTAGCATCTCACTATAACAAAAATTTTTAACAAATTAGCACCATATGAAGAGTAACTTAATTTATCTGATAAATGATGCAGAATATCAGGTTGCCACTCAACAAAAATACATATTAATAACAGTACCAGCTGCAATACAAAATAAAAAAAACTTTGTGAAGACCTATTTGTTTTTCAAAAAAAGAAATTGAATTAGAAACTTCATAAATATGAGTACTGTCCCTAATAATTTGGCCAGGTATAGTACTTATAGGACCATATTTTATTAACATATTTACCATTTTCCTGGTTTGCTATAAGGGGGTGACCCTTTCATGTTTTTTTACAAACTTTTTTATTACTTTAGATTTCATAAGCAAAATAATATTTTAAGATGCCTTTGTTTATTCAGAAACTTATTTGTCTTTTAGGAAAATGTTATATTGTTAGTTTGAGAAATATGTTTCCTTTACATTTTTTGCATTTTATTTTGAAAAATAATGAAACAATTATAACAATTATATAAGTAAACTGACCTATATCATGTCAGTTTGATCCAAGGACGTTGTAAAGGTGTTTCAATATCTTTGGGACACTGCCTGAAATATCCTAGAAACAATCTTTCTATAAATTTTTCATGGTATTCACACATTGGCATTTTTTATATTTTTTGTATTTGTCGGTATAATATTAATATTATACTTATCTACCAGTTGTACATGCATATATCGGTTCAACCTCGTACTTTAACAAGCTCAATGTAGCGGAAAGACATCCGTATGGCTCAAAGGCCGGAACTAACTCATTCAGGGTGTAGTCCAATTTTCTGTTTGAAAGAAGTTTATATTTTAAACTTATTTATGTAAACATTTCATCGTGTTATAACTTTCTGTTTAATCAGAATTTTTTAATTTACTTCCTTTTAAGTACTTTCACAAGGACCGTACTTTATCGTTATTATAATGAGAAATATATGTTAAAAATATATTGATCTCATTGCTGACTATGTTTCAACTGTATTTAGGAAAAGTAAGTCGTAACGATATTTATGATAGCCTATGTAAAAGTAGGTATGTCTTATTTGAAAGTAAAATACCTACTTTAATTTGTAAAAACAATTATGAGTCAAGCTTTCTGGAATACAGTGAACTACAAATCTCATATAAAAAAACATATTTAACTTTCATTTATAGCTCCATAACTATAAATAATACTAAAAAATTAAACCAGCAACCGATTCTACAATGAAAAGTTCCAGTAGACCAGTTTTATTATAATTTCAGTTCTTTTAATCGATAAAATGAAAACATCCGCATTGACATTCGAAACTCTTTCGAAAAATCGCGTTCGAGAACGTACATTTGTTTTTCCCGTCTCTGATAGTTTCTAATATATCTTCAGTTTCCATAAAAAATGGAACTGTCTGTACATAAAAATAAAAATTATATCAAAATGTAATTTAATTATAAAAAGATTATAAATCAATACCTACGAATGATTTTGAATTTAGTAAATTTCTTTTTTTTACTTCATAACAATGTTTAAATTATATTAAATGTTTTAATCGTTAAAACATTGTTATAATATTACGCCCAGGTCCAATGCTAGTTAACCCCAATATCAGAACATGTAGTGTTGGAATTGAACGAGACTTATGCCGTTGGTTCATACATTTGGCCAAATTGAAAAGTATTTGCAGTTTTTTTAATCTAAAAAAAGAAAAACGATCCCATCAGCGCTGATATATCACAATTTAAAAATAGGATAAATGGGAATATACACATGGAAGAGATAGATCATTTGGAGTACTATTAAAATTAGTGGCATCAGAAATTAATTTAAAACTTGATTTGCCATTTCCATAACAAAAACTTGGTGTGATCTTTACTCAGAAAAATGTATATTAGTCCTTATACGAAAATGTTTCAACTCTTGTTTGTGTTCTTTGATGTTTTTGGATAACCTCTAATTTTTTCAGGATTTCAATGTAATTTCTTATGTTCTCATTCACTTCAAAATAATAATAATTGAAAACATCACTACAGTGATATCTATGACCTCATAAATTCCATAGACTTTTTAAATTTATTACAATAAGTAATTACAGATACTTGTCTTGCTAAGGAATTGTGGAATATTTAATTGACTATGAAGTGTAAGAAAATAAAAAACTGAGTAGGTACTGATCAAAAGTCAATAGTACAGAATGTGCCTTGATCTGCGTTAGAATTTTGACTTATACGTGAGCAGGCAAATTAACTGCTTCAAATGTATTGGAAATCATACGATAGAGGTAAGTCACCCAGTGGTTCAGAACCTTGGAGCATAATGTGCATTGGCCTGCATTGAAGTCACGGTTTATTCGTGGCCTTTGTTACGTACGAACCGAGACTCTGATACAAACAAGTTGCCCGTTTTTCGGGCCACACCATTGACGCGAAAAAATGGGCAATATTGATAGTTTTGTGGTTGAACATCAAATTTCGCAATTTTGCCCTAATTTGACTGACCTTATACCTCTTAAAAATAGCCGATTTCCCAATAATGCGACTCGAAAAAGGAACTCTTTAGTGGCTCTGGCTCATTCGAATGCTTTCCATTGAATTTAAGCTGGTTTCTGTCCGTTCGTGTATAAACTGAAATTCCAATTCAGGCCAAATAAAATTTTATACCATCGGGTTTAGTTTGTACTACATTTTTTAATACGGCTAAATACATTCAAATGATTTCCAGTGCAATTGTGGGAATTTGATTGCGTTCGTTTACAGAACGGTACATCAAACGAAGTTTGGTTGTTTTTTATCTTATTTTTGTTGAATTGTGTATTCGTTTATTATTAGGTGCTTTTATTGCAACATGTCGTATTAGAATACTTTTTGAAGAAGAAATTTG